GTAAGCTGCACTAACTCCAATTTCAGGAAAACCAGCCTGCAATATATAGTTGAGTATGTAAATTATAACAAACACAACTAAAACAATTCATAAGTTTTAAGGCAAAGAGAAACTAAAAAACTGATCACTAAAAAAATAAAATCTACTGTCTTATTACTTTCTCCCAAGCCCAAAAGAGTTTTAATCTAAATCAGAAGGTATCAAATAGTAATTCATTTTTCAAAAAACTCCAGGTGCGAGTATTTATGTCCGATTGTTTCCTTTGTCTTCTTCGCAGATCATTCTGCATCTTTATGTCTTCTCTTCCATGATTGATTCAGCTTTCCAATCTTTTTAAGTACTAAAATGGAGCCCAAACAACAAAAAGATGTAGAACAAAAAATAGAATGCAAAGCTGCGTAAAGACATATATCAGAACATGAGATTTTTTAAAACTACTGCCTGTGTTATCAATTTTCTGAATAGAACACAACTACAAGATGTGTGTCATCAGATTAATCTAGAGTACGTATTAAAAACAACTTCAGATCAACTTCAGACTTGAAATATAAATGGGAGGTCAAAAGATCTTCAAAGAAACTCGTATATTTGTATCGAATATTGCAAGTCTACTTTCTGGCCGACTTAATAGTACAAGATTTCATACTTAAGCTAACAACAGTAGAAACAAAACATGATTTGAAGTGAAAAATGATATCTTTAAAGAATGTGATAAATAATTTTCAAATAAGCTGTGTCAAACAATCCCTAAATAAAAAACTAATTCCGTATATCAATCGCACATCAATTCAACATTTTCTGTCCACAAATTCATTAGTGAAACAGGGACTTAAATGGTTACGATTCTGAAGATGCAGCACGCGTTAGAGAAAGTGACAGAAGTGGTTCGGTGCAGTGAAATTGTAAAAAAAAAAAAAATCCCTTTAACTTTCAATACAAACACTTTTATACCTATCGAGATGAAACATCGGCGGTACGGGGCTTGAGGTGAATGAGGAGGTGAGGAGGGTAGATTTCAACGACCTGGCAATCTTCGTCGTACACTGCCATGGCTGTCTCAACTTCTGCCGCCACTTCTTCTTCGGCCATTGGTGGCTGTGACGGTGACGGTGGCGGGGGTGTTTGTTGATTCGTCTGAGGAAATCGCGCGGGGTGTTTGGATTCAATTAAGCTGCTACTGTTACCATTGGAGGCAAAGCAAGGTAATGCAATGGGGAATCAAATGAAATAGCCAAACGTGATTCCCGTGAGAAAGGCTCGATCATTTTGGCTAAGCTTTCTGTGATTCTAGTCAGGAGCAGCCGCATGAGAGAAGGATTTTGGTGTTGAGATGATTTTGATTTTGTTGGAGAGGCGTCAATAGAGGAAGTAGTGATGGCAATGGGGCGGGTTCGGGACGGGGCACCCTCACCCTACCCTGCCCTACCATGCCACTCCCCCTCCTCGCCCCGCGCCCCACCCCGACTTAGATGGGGCGGGGCGGGGCTCGGGGCGGGG